ATTTCTGCTACATCCTCTTTCGGTTTGGGGGTTTCCTTTGGCCCAGAATCGTGCCTCGGAGAAGGACACAAACACATCCGTAAACAATTTGTACTCCTCTTTTTTTTTCGCTCCTGTTATGTCTTCTTTATGTAGGATGTCCTCTGATAAGCAAAATAAAGAAATGAACACAGAGAAATTGAAAATAGGCAACCCTATTACGAGGGTTCCAACGGTTCCAAACAGCAGCCCAACAAAAACAATTCAAATGAACTGCCATTCCGCACAAGAGAAACACAAGAAGTCCAAAGAATTATTCAAAAAAAAAAAGGGTTAAAAGTGGCAATCAACGCCTCGGATTACAAATTCGACTTGACTGTGGGTGGGGCTGGGGTTTTCTCTGGGTTAAGATGGAACCTGACCCTGACAGCATCAAGTAAAGAAAAACTTGCGGGCAGCTCGTTAATTATCAAGTGTTAGCGAACGTTGCATATCAAATGAAATCTTTTTCTTTACTGGTCTCTTTTTTTAAGGGTTTTCTCGCTTGGGCACAAGTTCTTGTTTTTTCTATGCCATCCATTTGCAAAGTGCTTAAATGAGTTTTCGTTTTTTTCCAAACAGTTTTGTACTTTCAAACATTGAGGTTCGTGTTAGAGCCAGTAAAAGTTTCAACTGCATTTAACAGATTTCCCAGGTCTGGTAAGCCTTTTAGACATTTTAATCTCAATTGAGTGTAGGTAATACCCTAAATGGTTTTTATTTATTCAAAATATATTTCATTTTAAAATGTTCTAATGACACTTAATACTCTATTGATTTTCAGAATTAAGCAACTGCATGGCAACTGACCACATTGCAATTCCATTGCATCAGAGCTTTTGCCATTAACTACAATATTTTGGTATGTTTTGAGATTTATTTTATTTCTAATTGATTGATTTTAGATATGACAGCAATATAACAAAACCTTTTAATGCTAAGGCAAGGGTTTGAGGTGCACAGTTTTCAGCAATTGAAAACTATTTGATGGATTTACAGCACACCCCACAAAAACATAAAAATCCTTTGGAAAATACTAACTTGATTATGAATAATCTTTTTCAATGCAAACTCAATCTTCTGTCCAGTCTGACGGAACTTCTACTATAAATAATTAGCAACATTGAGCTGTGAACATTTCGATAAATTGCTTGCATATATAACATCACAGAACTGTCAGGTTTCGGTGTCAAGTTTGTCTGCAGAAGCCTCTTTATTGATTGAAGTTTAAATATAAACTGCATCAAAATCAACCTGGGGCAACGAAATACGATATAATAATACAAAGTAGCAGTAATACTGCAAAAGCAATGTACAGGCATAGAAAGGTCATGGCCTGTAAGTCTTTACACAGAGGCAGTCGAAGGATTGCATTAAACTGTTGCTGCACTCATCAGCGTGTGAGGATGACAGACAGTCGAATCCCCCGAGAGGGAGCAATGCCAAATGATGAGGCTGCTTAGGCCAATCGCTGATGGCATTACTGTACGTGTGGGAGTGGGAGAGCGCGTGTCGCACTCAGTGTGTGTGCTTCATTGTGTCAACGTAATTTTTGCTCCACTTCAGACCGTTCCTGTTTGCCATTTCATTTCCATATGCACAGAGCAAATAGGCAAACAAATTGTGGTAGGGGGAATGAGGTGTGGTGTGGTGTGAGTGGGTTGTGTGTGTGGATTGTGAGTGAATGTTAATGCAGAGTTGGCAACATTGTTGTTGTTGCCGGTTGTCTTGGCAGCAGGGCTATCGGAGGTTCTCGGTGTGTTGGGTATTCTAGGGTTGTGGCATCTTGACAGGCAACAACTCCATGCTCAGTGACACGTGTGAATGTGAAATGTTCTGTTGCAAGAACAAGCGGGGCAACAGCGGCAGAGGCAGTGGGCTCCAAATTTTTTGACATATACAAGGGGCGAAACGCTGGCAAATTTGAAAGTCAGGCCAAAAGTTGACAGGATTTGCGCGCAAAAGGATTTAGACCAGGAAAATATATATCAGGCGATGTGTTCACGGAACAGGAAGTGGAATGGGAGCAGCAGCAACGGGATAGGGGACTCGGCGGAGGGGGAAGATCTCGAAGGCAGGATAATCGTCTGGCTGTCATTGTGTTTACACTAAATTTCAATTAAATTTTGAGGCCTACTTTGACAACTGACAGTCGGCCAGGCTCCAAGAGCCAGGATCCAACGAGACTAAGCAAATCAAGCGGAATAAGAAGAGAGGAAGGAAGGAAGGATATCAAGCAGTACAAGAAGGAGCTGGCAGTGCAAATCAAGCAGTACAAGAAGAGGGACAGGAAATCACTCAGAATAAATATAAAGCGACGAGCCGGGAGGAAGAGCAAAGTCTAAGGCAAAAGGATAAGCGTAAAAGAAACAATTGCAAATGCGGCACTTGGCCCCTGCCCCATTCCCCATGCCACATGCCACTTTAAGGCAAACGACAACAAATCTCGGGGCCCACAACTCGCTGGCAACAATTTTATGCGGGAAAATGAAGCCACTTTTCCTAAGCGCACAAAACAACAACAAAAACTAAGAACAACAATCCCCAAAAAGCAGTAGAGTGGGCGGGGAATTGGGGGGCAATGGCACTGTGCTGGATTTGCCAACTGGATTTAAAATGGAAATTATTTGAAGGAAACCAATTCGCTTTATTACTTTGGGGCATACGCAGCAGCAGCAAAGTAAAACAAAAGCAGTCAACGGTGACGCCAGCAGCAGAGCGAAAGCAAGAACAACTGTGAGTGAATGAGAAGCAAGAACAACTACAACAAAGTACAACAAAATACAACCTGAAACAAAGAACAACAAAAGTAAGCGACCATAAAAATTAATGCAATAAAAACACATGGCAGGCAGGCAGGAAAAAACACACACAAAACAAACGGACATTGTTGAATGCACTGAGAGAAAAATACCAGCAGTTCTGAAGTACACAATACGTAAAAAATGCAGTTAAAATAAAGGAAATGTTAACAATTAGCATTGGTTTGACTACGAAAATTCTCCTGAACTTTTTTCTTTGTTGTATCCAATATTTCCCAATTTTTCTCTCCGTGTAGTGATGGCCAGTGAGGTACAAAGTAAAGGACACGACTGAGAGTCAGTGTAGCTGCACGTTCGATAACGCTTTTTGCTTACACAGAAAGCGTTGATTACCTCACCGATAAATTATCGCTCTGTAAGATGTAAATTATTGCCGCCTTCTTGCACAGAAAAGGGAAAACTTCTCATGAACATTACTAAACTTTTTTACTTAACGGGAAACTTGCTGATAGAAATAAGTTTTCTATAATTTATAAAAGTTATTAAGAGATAATTTCAACATTTATTACAGAAATGAATGCATTATTTATGGCTACATCAAAATTCTTGCTATTTATTAATTGGAAGACAAGGACACAAAAATGATTATTTTATATTCATTCTAATTAAATCTATTAAGAATAAATGCTCAGTTATGCATAATTGCCATTAAATAATTGTATTAATCGTATAGTTAATTGAGACTAAAAATGACTTTGATTGCACTTTTTAATATGAATTTAAAGATGGGTTACGAATGCTTAATTAATGAGCAGAAATGTGTATATTCGAAATGGGAGTAGAAAGAGAATGTAAATGTAATTTTCTTTTGCCATTTAGCAGCCGAGCAACTAGACAAAGAAATCTTAGGCAGATACTCAAAGCAAAGTCTGTCTGTGGCAGGACACTACTCCTCCACCCATATCCCTACGCAGCCTTCAGTGCTGTTTCTTGCCTCCCACTCAAGGCTGCAGCAGGCGGTGGCAATTAAAAGGACTCGCGAGTCATAAACATTGCGCTTGAGTGGATTGTTGGCGGGTGCTGGTGGCGATGCGGTGTCTGCCTCGCTGTTTCTTATGCCTGTTGCCTGCTCGCTTGATTGAGCTTACAGTTTGCGGCTCATAAAGTCACAGAAGGAAAGAGAAAGAGTATCATAATTACACTTTTCAATTATGCATAATTATGTGTAGAGCGCCGAGAGAGAGCAATTTGTGAGTTGTTGTGTTATGCGGTGCTTTGGCTGCGTTTAAAATTTAAAGTGCAGTGACACAACACGACCCTCGGCCTGTCAAGCCGGCCTGCCACATTCCTCATTGGAGCCGCCAACCGCCTGCCGTCGCTGTTATGCGATATGCCCCAAAGGCGACCCCAAGCGAGTCAGCCAGCGACCGCATTTGTTTGCTTTGGCTCCCACCGTCTCTCTCCTCCTCTCTGTTCTCTGCTCTCCTTCTGCTCCTGCTGCGAGCAGAACGCAAGAGAACGGTACAGAGCAAAACATAGCAGAACAGAACAGGAGGACTGCTGACTGCAAGGACAACGCAGCAGGCAGAAACATAAATCAGGATTTTCGCAGCCTGAACCACAAATGTTTTTAAAAGGATTCATTGCTGTGGCAGCTCCAGAGCAACAATAATAACCTTGAGGAGGAGTGTGTGTGTTTGTGGCAACAACCCTCAGTACACTCATCCTCATATGTACATACATATATTGCTGATAATCTTATGCATGCTTAAACAGGATATGGGATAGATGGGATGTGCGAAGGAGCGAGCGCTTTGCCATTGCCATGCCCATTTCCACTTTCCCCATGTCCACTTTCCTTCTTCAAACGTGAGTGACGCGTGTGTGGCACAACTGTAGGAAAGGTGTCTGTGGTTTATGTTGCCTTGTTCTTAGAGTAATCCCAAAGAAATCTCAGCTTCAATTAACTTTAATTTAATTTCACAGATGTCTTTAAGGCGTAGGTTTGGATTTATTTTTATTTGCTGTATAAATTTCATATAAATAGGAAGCTGATCGCAGGGAGATATATACCAGAACTAGGGGTAGAAATACGAGTATAACTAAAATAATACGCGATTTATCCTAAATTGAATACATTTGAAATCGTCTAAAATGTAGTGTTAAATCTTTAGCTAATTTTCTAAATAAATAAATAAATTACTTAAAAGATCAACTTACCCGTTAGGCAGCAGAACAGCGCCGTCCACAGGGTCAACATGTTGCGATGACCCTTTTTGCAGTGGCTTCTCTTTTGCTAGTCTCTGTTATTTCTAGTCTCTTTTTCTTTAATTCTCTTTTCTTTTATTCCTTTTGCTTTATGCTTTTACTTTTTGGTGCTATCAATTCGCACTTTTGTTGTGTTTTTGTGTTCAGGTTTTGATCTATGGCAAAATCTCTAGAGGAGATACGGGAATTTATTGTTTTTATGTTTCTTTTTTGCACACTACCGAGCGATGCACCTCCCATTGTCTCTTTCGCTTCGACCGTTCTGCCGTTTCGCTCTCTCTCTTTTTTGCTCTGTTTCCCGCTCGTGAATTAAACACTTGCAATGACATTTAAAACACTTAATATCAATGGCAGACAATTTAATCCTTTAACGTTCGTTTGTTGAACTGTTGTTGTTTTTTGTTGCTGCATTGTTGTCGTTGTTGTTGCACTCGATGCTGCCGTTTCCATGCACCATGCCCCGTGTCCTTGTTGCCGTTGCAATTGTGTTTTGCTCTTTTCGCTGGCAGGGCCTGGTCCTAGGCCGGAAAATATTTTTATTTTGTTTCCCCTGCCCTCACAATTCCTGACCGGAATTTTCTTTTTCCTCTTTTAGCTTGCAACCCACCCAAAAATGAATTTTCATTGAGCTTTAACAGGGGATTTTGCCATGTTATGGGCACATAAATTGATTAAATTTTGTGTTCTGATAAGCCAGATTTTTTGATCGAATGTGCAGTGTAGCCTCTTTTGTTGCGAGCAGAAAATTTGTAAGTAACTCTTGGCAGGAAATGCAATTTCCTGTTTGAAAAGGAGCCAGCAAAAGCTGCTTAGGGCTACACAAAAACAAAATAGAAAACCAAAAGCAACAACAATTATCGATGGCAGGGATTGTATTCGCTAGCATAGGGTTTATGGTTTTATATATATATTTTTTTAATATTCTGTGAACGTTCGAAGTGGCCACTGAAGAGTGAGTAATTTTCAGAATTTTTGGGGCTATTATTTTGGGTCCTTGATTATGCAAACAGAGCTGAAAAGTGTGCCAGATTGCTGCCTTATTTTTACATCTCTGAAATCTTTGAGTGCCCTTCCAGCAGCAAGAATTTTCCTATCACCTTCACCTAATTTTGCTCACACTCCAAGTATTCCCTGGGGCTGAAAAGTTTACACCACATTTTTAGAAAAAAGGTTTTACAGGGGCAACGCCCCACACACAAAAATATAGTTTCTTGTCTCTGCACACAAAAACTAAAGTTTCTTCTATCATACAATTAATAATTGCTAATGCATAAACTGGACTGAGTTTTGAGGGGTTTCAGTTCATGTCGTGTCTCTTGCATATTTCATGAGTGAGTCCTTGGATCGCATGTTTTCCGAGTTCTTGGGTTTTGGTGTCCGAAAATAAATGCAAACAAAATTATGAGCAGCTAAAATAAGGAAAAAGGAAAATGGGAAAATGGACAAAGCAAGCCGTATCCTGTCACGCCTCTAACTATGTCTTTGGATATTTCTATCCATCCAGCCATCCAACATCCACATTGGCATCAATCAATTTTCTGTCCCCCCTCTGGATAGCTGGGGAAAACTGGGGAAAAAGTTTTAGTTTAACTTTACCATTTTCCTGGCTTCTAATTTGTTAAACATTTGCCGAGGAATCGCCATTTTCACACGCCTCTGGGAAAAATTCTTTTTCCAGCAGTGGAGTTTTTCAACTGCCGCTTGCTCGTCGGCTGTGTGAAATTAATTAAAACTTAATTAATTCCAAACTACCCCTCTGGAGAGAGGGGAAAACTAATGAGAGGGGGAGGGGAGGAGGGAGTTTGCAGAGGTAAAGTCCAATCTGTAGATTCTCTGGAGTCCCATGCCAAGGCCCATCTCCTGTGTGGCTTCAATCAGAAGTTGCTGCTGCTGACAGATTGCCTAGTGGTCTCCGGGTCCGGGTCCGGGCCCGGTTCCTTGCCCGAGGACCCCAGCCACTTGTCACTGTTGCTTCCGTAATGGAATTAGAGAGGGGGAAGCCGGCTGTAGGGGAGTATTAGTAGTGCTGGAGTGGCAGCTTTCCAAGACAGAGGCACATTTCCAGAGTTCTCCTCACCAGCAACGTCAGCAATGTCTCTCAAAAGTGTTAACGCACTCAAATGTTGCAGTTGTTGCTCCTGTTATTCCTTACTCTGTCCAACTCTTAGCTCTCTCTCTCGCTCACTCTGTCTTTCTGTCTCTGCTAAACGTTGCCCTAGGCTGCTCTAGGCTCTCCCTTTCCCTCTCTCTCTCTCTCTGCTTAATTGTAAACGTCTGCACTTTGTTGTCCTCGTCCTTGAGGCAATGTGTGTGTTGGTGTCTGTATGTGCTTCTGCTCTAATGCTTAGTATCTCTGATTAGGAAGCAACTTAAGTTCCGGGTTCACCCACGGCAGCTGCTCTCTTCCCCCTATTCCCATTGTTGCTTAGCTCTGGCCCATTGTGTGGCAGTAAATTCCTTTGGGTATGAATATTTTATTGAGTAAGGTTTTCGTTTGGGTGCTTTGGCTGCCACGAACAAAGACGAATAAACAATAATTAAGGAAATGGTAAGGAGCATAATCATAGAACCAAATAAAGATAAAAATGTATTCAATCCAATATTTTTTAGACAATATGCGAATATAAGACTCAATCTATTCAAAAACTAAACAAAGTCTAATCGCATTCATTGATCATTGATTCCCATTTGAGCCACTCAAATTCAGCCATGAGACGTGGCAACTGCTTAATAGAAAAACTTTTCATCCAGCCAGAAGTCTCTTAACAGTCTTTTCACTTTCTCTGCATTTTCTGTAAAACAAATAAAGATAAAGAAGCAAGCCTTGAAAGCACTTGACACTTGACAATTTCCACTGTTCTTATTTTCATTCGTTTTGCTCCAAGTGTTTTTTCTCCTGCAGCATCCGAATGTGTGCGTGTGTGTGTGAAAAGTTTGCCAGTGAAAGTTTTTCCTTTTGTTGCCAGTCGAAACAAAACAAGGCAGGCACAGAAAATATTTTGTATAATATATTCTTCGTAGTTCTTTTATTTTAACGCATTGCGCATACGCAATGTGATCGGCAAACAGCATCAGAGGCAGGCAGGCAGGCAGCAGCAGACCTCCAGGCTCTCGAGAACATAAATTTGCCTCCACTTTACGTGGGTCTCTTAAGCAGAGAGAGAGAGAGAGAAATGTTGGTATGTAGTTTTGGCATGGATAAGAGCAAAGAGTAGCAGCACAGACTTTGTTTTAAAAATAAATATCAAGGATCTGTTATCAATAATCAATCGTTCGTTCAAACAACTTTATGCTTTCACTTGCTCATTCTTTCATTCACTTTTTGCAACCAAATAATGGGTCTTAAGATCATTCGTATTCATAGCCAACATAAACACTTTCTTTTCTCACTGTGCATTGCCTTAGTATTTTATGTGTTTTCTATTAATTTTTGTCACACTCTTTTTCCGTCTCTGTTGAGCAAATATTGTATTACACTGGACGGGGGGAGGGTAAATATATTAATGTTCGATATACCATTTGGGACGGGACGTCCACCAATTTCTGTTTTGACGCGCGCTTTTCGTGTTATTTTTGGGGGTGTAGCGGCAGCAAACAGATCAAAGATTTGGTTTTGGTTCTTGTTTTTCTTGTTGTTCCAATTTGTTAATTTATATTTGGGGTCTGCTCTTGCGAGTGTTTGGGGTTCTCCTGCTCCTTCTTGCTGTCTCATTCTTTTGTCTAAATATAAAACAACTTAATTTGCTGCATGCTAATGAGGGGGCTGGGGGTGTTGACTAGCAAGGGGGCGGGGCTGGAGGTCGTTGTGTGGGCGTTTAACACTTTTATAATTTGTTTGGCTGCGACTTGGTCTCTGGTCTCTTCTGCTATTTGGTCGCCTGCCACACAGCTGACACGCACCAAGTTTTTGGGTTTTTTCTTTCGAAACGAAATCGTACATAATATTTTGGAGACGATGCCATAAAGTATTCGCGTGCCGAATGCTTTTTAACTTAACTGCCCGACAAAAATAACAGCCACAATAACTGGGAAACAACAACAGCGACAAATGCGACAAAAGGTCATTCAATTTGTTGTGTTTTTTTGTTTGGAGCTCTGCCGGCAAATGTGGCAATGAGGCAATGAGGCTTTTCCTGCGTTTTCACACGTTTTCCAAAATTTACGACACAATTTTTGCCTCCTTCCTGCTCTGTCACACACACACACTGAGGCACACACGTATATGCACACCCATCTACTGTTGGATGGTGGATACTTTCGCGTCTCACGTTTTTTTTTTGGCATTACATTTTCATAAACTTTTTTGTTGGGGAATTCCTTGGACTAGAAGTTGGAGTTGGCTTCGTTCGGTTCGTGATTCTCAATAATTATCGCGTTGTGGGGCCGCCGCCTTTGCCTGCGTTCGCTTTCGAATGTCGCGTTAAAACTGAAACTGATTTGGGGCCCTCGTCCATGGCGGAGGCCCAAGGCAGCAGCACGGCAGCATGGCAGAAGAAGGCGCCAGCCGAAAGAGGGGGCGGCCGAGCACACACACGAGCACGAGCCTTTATCAGCAAGCAGCGCGAGCAGATGCCTCGGCTGTCGCTTCGTGTTGCTGGGAGGGGAGTACATGCCGAGGCGCCCATACTGAGCCGAGCTCCAAACTGAGCTCTTGCCGAATTCGCCGCGAGGAGAAGGACTGGCTCTCTTACGTTGGCTAGCAAAGTAGCTCTCTCTCTCTCTCTTATGTTTCTTTCTCTTTTGTGTCCCATCCTAAGCATCTGTCTAAGGCATATTCATGAAAAGGTGGCAGGCTTGCTGCTCTTTGATTGTCGTTCTTTTGCATGAATAAAGAAAAACGAAAGTGAAACAACATTTTCCTCACCTTTTTATAAATACCCCACGTTTTGCGTTCGCTCTCTTTTGGTATTCTTCTGCGCTCTTTCATTTAGGCTGCTCTCTTTCAAGGTCTAACATTAAAGGTCTAGCAATAAAATGTTTGGAAATAGTTTCGGCAATCGCTAATAAATATATTAGTCGCGACAGGTGGAAATACTTAATGGTGCAGAATTATAGCTTGACGCTTAATACAAATTTATTTAATGATATTCTTCACAGTTGAAATAGGAAATTTATGTTTATGGTAAGGCACTTAAGACGAGCCTTTGACGGGTAGTGCTCGGGCCTGGACAAGTTTTATTTTAATAGGAATTGGAACACAATTAATAGAATTGAAAAATGGTTTAGTATTGAGTATTGAATGTGTTTAAATCTTCCTTCTAAATATAGATCCCTCACATCACCAGCAATATCTTAAGGTTCATTATCACTGCCTTCGACTCTATCCCAACCGAAACGAATGCCTTTAGGTCAGTGCCAAAGAGAACCGAGGCAAAGAGCGCGCATGCCACTGCAAATATATTTAATTTTAAATCATTCTTATGCTCTCTTTCTGCTCTTTTTGTTCAAACGGCGAATTCATTAATGTGGCCAGCAGGCAGAAATTTCAATAAAATACGTACACTCAGCGAGCTGAAAGACGGAAAGAAGTTTGCATAAAAAGGAGCTAATGACAATATAAATTCACATGGCGTATGGAAATTTGCCGCAGATGGGCAACGGGTGCTGGCCTGAACGCTCTTTCCATTCGTACCCCAAAAACCAGATAAGAGATACCCAGCCTCCCCAGGAAGGTTTATGTGTTGTGGGTGTGGGCTAACAGCAGTTATCGCTGAAGCGAAAGGCAGTAATTAGCGTAAATTGAGTTGGTAAAATGCGAAAATGCTCAAAATCCGATAGGCAGGGCAACCTACAGCTACCCTTCCTTCCTACCACCCTATACCTCATACACTTGGCTAAAAATGTATTTAAAGAGCAGCAAAATTACGATAATTATGGCAGAGAGGCGCCGATTTAGGACGAGAAGTCAATTATTTTATTGATTTTTGAATCCCTTTTCTCTCAGTGTGACCCACCACCCAATAGTTGTCCCCCCCTTGTTGTTGTGGTTACTTCGAGGCTGGCTGGCACTGCTGCTGCTGCTCCTGCTGGCGCTGGTTTTGTTGTTGATTATGTGGCAATTAGTTGTCGCTTTTGTGGCAAGCCGCGACACCAGGACACTTTCAATCAGAGATTCTTATTCCGACAGACCCGCTAATGCCTCATCCAGGTGGAGCTTAGTGAGTTAATTAAACAAGCCGATTACTGGTGCGTCCCCCGCTGACCTTGAGTCCACAGCTTCCTCCACTTGGAACTCCTACACACTGTTTCAGAAAAGTTTCCACACAACTTATATCAGGCCGGACACACACACGCATGCAGCCTTTTGCCCAGCTATCAACTTTCCACACACATATTGTTCGAGGCGTCTGAGTATATTGGTTTTCCGGGCGTAGGTCACTGCTGCTCTAGTTGGTGGATAGGTGGGTGGTTGGAGGACTGGTGGGTTGCTGGTTGGGTCAAGTTCTAGGTGAGAGCAGGCTTCATTCAGTCTAATGAGCGCCAGTCGCCCTGCAAAGCCTTTGCCTGGGCATTCGAAACTTTATGGAATGTCAGAGAGCCAAAAGTTTTCAATTTAGTTGCATGAAAAATATTGTTGCAGGAAATTTTGTGTGCTTTAGCGAGGCAAATGGATAAAGAATTTGGAATGCTCTATGGAACAGGGAAAGCATATCATTTTAATATTTTCAGCCATTCTCTTATGGGAACTTTAAACGTCGTATAAGCCTCACTCTAAAGTACCTGAAACTCTTTAGCTTCAGTCTATTTTTAGAGCAAAAGCCACTTGTGTTTCTTTGTTGTGCTTCTTTGTTTTTTCAATCGAATTCAAAGTCTAGTGGCTATGATTGATCTGCTTAAGTGAAGGGGAAGTACTCCCAAGTCAAAGTCCCACCAATGAATGCCAATACATCATCAATCCATCTTTCATTTGCTGCCGCTCTACGCTGCTTCCTGCACCCTACTCCACCCCGCACGAGCGTTGCTGGCCAGCTTAGCGACCCACGCGGAAGGGAAGTTCATTTGTTGAGTGAACATTTTATGATTTATGAAAATGTTCTATTTCTGTTCTTGTCTTCTCTTTCCTCGAAACTAAACAGTGCGGCGTTCATTCCACCCACTTTGTATTACAATCAGGATCTGGCTTGGAATTAAATCTGGTAACCGAGTTATAGCCTGTGGGCTGCAAGGGCAGGGCAGGGGCAGAGCAGAGCGTTTGGGTGCCCGCTAGTCGGACTGGACTCTGTTCTCGGGCCATTGTTGCATATTCAACAATTGCAACTGCAAAACCGACGAAGTAATAACAAATGCAAATTTTAAGCTCAAGAATATTCAGTTGCAAAAATTGTTACATTTTTCTGCTGCTGTTGTTGTTTTTGTTGTTGTTGTCAGTTGTTGTTATTGTTGCTGCTGTTGTCAGTTGTATATTCGGTTTTTATTTTTGGTTTGGGCCTGGGCCTGCCGGGGGGAAACAGCAGGCAAAAGTGCAAATGAGTTTTGCTGCCCCATCCCTGGACAATTGAATTTGTTTAAATTGTTGCAAGTTTTTGGGGCAGGGCTGGGTTCATGCATCAACAATCAGCAGCTGGGAATCGGCAGCGAAAATCGGTCTAAACTTAAAGTCCGCAAACACACATTGTCCGTAGATGTCCTTGCTGCCAGCCAATATAATCAAACAGCAGCAGCAGCACCAGCTGGCAAAAAATGGAGTGCCAAAGTGTGTGTGTTTGTGTGTGTGTGTCTTGGGTGGGTTAGGGACAGATTTACAGGATGGGATAGTCATATAGGTCTGGGGGCACTGATGAGTTCACTTCAGTGAGCAAATGAAACGATATTGTTGTCAATTTAGGTGCAACAAAGAGCAGCAACGAGCCCCATACCCATATCCAGTCCCCCGTCTGACAGAACAAGACAAAAACAAACAGCATGCAGGATGAGCGACAGAGACAGGCATAACCATAGCTAGAGACAGAGAGCGAGAGGGAGAGGGAGAGGGAGAGCTACAGCTAGTGTAACAACAAAGGCAAACAACAACAAATTGCATGTCCTTCCGCCTTGGGTTGCAACACAATATACAACGCACTCATATTTACTTTGTTCGAAGAATCCTGTTGCAGTCTGCCCGGCCCCTAACCGGACGGACGCCTGCCCCCCATGCAGCCTGCAACATTAATGAAAACTGCAAGCGACCTGACACAGATACATACGGAGAGATGGGACAGAGGGACCAAGAACTGCCACTGGGGGGCGACATTGCTTCACCTTTATTTACAGTCAATGGAGGGTGGAAAGAGGAGTGAGGGTGCGGGGACATTGGGCAATTGCTAGGAAAGCATTTTCAGTATGGGGCAATATTTTTAGTCATTTTGCTGTGCAAGATTCCTTGTACCTTTTATCGTTTACCTTTTACGTTGCATGCCCCTTCAGGTGATCTTGGATAATTGCCAACTAAATTGGGTTTAATGGGTTAGCAAGGGGCTTCGACTAAATGGCAAATCAGGTACAGTTGCGGCAAGATGTACACAGAGTTGCATGTTGTTATCGGTAAGAGCAGATGGACAGGATAGAGAGGGGTACAAAAAGATAATTACGAAATAATTGAAGCAGATTGTTTGTCATTTTGGGGAGCTATACAAATATAATTTGTGCTCGGCTCGGGGGGATTTTAATTAATTTCGTACAGTTCGGTCAGGGACAGAGGGGGGGCCAACAACTGAGTAAATATTAACTAAATGAGCTACCTTAATCTATCATCTGCAAACCAAACCAAGTGCAGTTAATACAAAACGTTTGCATAGTCAGAGTTGCATTTATTATCGATAGTTGGGCCGATAAATAGCGAGTTTAAATAAATTAAATAAATAAATAAATTAGGCACATTACACTAAAGCGTAGACTACAATTTAGTTAGCAGAGAACTGAAGAAGAAGAGTTGAAACGAGTAGGAAACATTATCCTTTGAACCCTTTAGAGCCGCACAACCTCAACGCCCTGCGGCGCAAACAGCGATTCGGCTGCCAATTTGAGCTTCTCGTTGACCAATTTGGCAATTTTTGGCGTGCGGCGCCACACCAATTCGCGTGTTCTATCGTGATTGTCCTTGCTCTCCACTTCCACCTGAAACAGAAACAGACAGCAGGAGTCAAAGGCTAATTGAACAAAGGACAATCAAAGGGGACTCACCTGCTTTGGCTGTTGCACCTTGATGGACATGAGGGTGGCCCGATCGTCCACCACGCTGAACTTGATGCGTCCGATCATCTCGTTGGTCCTGGCCGTGGCACTCTTCACGCTCCTCACGCTGCCGCGCTTGAAGGACTTCTCTACCCGCAGGATCAACGGACCCAGTGTAAACTTGGCCTTGATCGTGGAGTTGCGTCCCTCCGCATCGCTGATCACCTTCACATTGCCCACCCGCTTGAGGGAGGCCAGTCCC